TCAACCAATGAGAGAGGCAGAAGCCCAAAAAAAAATTGGGTCATGGTCCCGAACAAGTACCAGATACGAAAACCTATAGGAGTCGAACCCCATAAATCAATGTAGAAAGAAGAGACACATCATAAAATAAAATTTGTTGCTTGAGCGATCCTGAGACCATGCGACTAAATTCCGATGACAAGAACCCTATTAAAGGTAAAGCCGACGTCCAATCCAACTACCAAATGATCACATATGGATCCTCTAGTGCCAACTATCAAAGGAGCGCATACAAATCTTCATAGTACATAAGATAAGTGACATTATACTCATTGTCGATATAACATAGATTATCTTTGTGAAAATAGATCCTATTAGACGGAACACACTAAGGCGTAGCTGGCGCACCTCATATAAGGAATAAGCCACTCCAAGAGCGTAGGAGGTAGGCTTGGTAAACATCCATATTTAACTAGGATAAAAACCTAAGGGAAGTGGGAACTCACCCTTGATCGGGGACGATTCCTTGTAGGTCCACCGGCGTGCTACCGTATTGAAGATCCATACCGCCACATTAGGAGTCTACCATCATAATTCAATCACAAGTATGATTCCAATACGGAACACCATCCAAACAAAACAATAATATTTTCACTCAAGAAACTTCTTTATTAACTAACTACCATATAACAAACAATGTTTCATTAAAAAAAATCTTAATCATAGTATTTTAAAATACTCAATCATTTCGCTTTTTATTTTACAAATAAGAGTTGGAGCTCAAAGAATGAATGACGCATCACTAGAATCGAAACGGTAGTATAATCACTACTCCAGCGTGCAGCGGAAATCCAACATGATTAAGCAAACTCACGTAAAAATCAAGCTCCGTTCCACACCAGAATTGTGAAGCTCGAATTCCCCATATTCGATGGTACATACGCAATTGAATGGATCTTCAAAGCTGAGCAGTTCTTCGAGTATTACAACATACTAGATGTTGATCGTTTGAAGATTGTTACAGTTCATCTAGATCAAAAAATGGTGTCCTGGTACCAGATGATGCCACAAACTAATCCTTTCCAGTCTTGGCAATTGTTCGCGCGTGTTATTGAGGTAGATTTTGACCCTTCTTGTTATGATTGTCCTTTCAACCAAGTAGTAGTCCTTTCTCTTCACCAATTGTTTTGGTAAAAAAGAAAGACGGAACCTGGAGATTCTGCACTGACTATAGAGCCTTGGATCTTATTACTATGAAAGAATCTTTCCATATGCCTACTGTAGATGAACTTCTGGATGAGTTGTTTGGAGCAAAATGTTTCTCGAAGCTTGATTTGAGGTCTGGTTACCATCAAATCTTTGTGGAGCCTAGTGATAGATACAAAACAGCTTTTAGAACACGTCAAGGCCATTATGAATGGTTAGTTATGCCCTTTGGGTTAACTAATGCCCCTGCATCATTTCAGTGCTTAAGGAATAAGATATTTAAGCCATTTTTAAGGAAGTATGTCTTCATTTTTTTTGATGACATACTTGTCTATAGCCTCTCATTTTCTGCTCATTTACACTATTTGGAAACAGTTTTGCAGATTTTACAAAATAATGTATTGTTTGTAAAACTATCCAAGTGTTCTTTTGGCATGGAGGAAGTAGATTATTTTGGTCACACAGTTTCTGGTACATGTGTGGCAATGGACAATGACAAAATGAAAACAGTCTTCTAGTGGCCTCAACCCAACAATGTCAAACAGCTCAGGCGTTTTCTTGGCCTTACTGGATACTACAAGAGATTTGTTAAAGGATATGCTGCAATAGCTTCCCCTCTCACTGACTTATTAAGGAAAGAAGGCTTTAAGTGGACTGCAGAAGCTACAAAGGCTTTTGAGAAACTTAAGGTAGCCATTACTATTGCACCTGTTCTAGCACTCCCTCAATTTTCTATACCTTTCACAATTGAAACAGATGCATCTGGCACGGGGGTAGAGGCTGTGTTGATCCAGCTTGGCCATCTAATTGCTTTTTTCTTAAAAAAAGATGGTACCTAGAATGCAGAAGCAATCAACTTACATTAGAGATTTATTTGCTATAACTAAAGTCATTGTTAAGTTTAGACACTATTTATTGGGAACAAGTTCATTACCAGGACATTTCAAAAGAGTTTGAAGAGTTTAATGGATCAGTCTTTACAAACTTCTGAGCAACAGGCATGGTTGCACAAATTCATTGGTTATGACTTTACCATAGAATACAAGCCAGGTAAGGACAATGTGGCAGTGGATGCATTATCAAGAGTTTGCTTAATGGCCTGGTCTAAACTTGAAGTTGAGTTTCACTCTTCTCCTGTTGGGGGTCATGTAGGAATAGCAAGACAATGGCTAGAGTTTCATCTCAGATTTTCTGGAAAAATATGAAACATGATATTTAAGAATTTGTCCAAAATTGTTTGATGCGTTAGCAAGCAAAAAATGACACTAGAGCTCCTGCTGGCCTACTGCAACCATTGCTAATACAAGAACAAGTTTGGGAAGATGTGGCAATGGATTTTATCACAGGGTTGCCCCCCTCTCATGGTTACATTGTCATCATGGTAGTCATTGACAGACTAACAAAGTATAGTCACTTTAGCCCCTTAAAAGTGGACTACAACATCAGGACTATAGCTGAAGCATTTATAAAAACTATATTTAAGTTTCATGGTATGCCTAAGCCCATTGTATCTGACAGAGACAAGGTGTTTATGAGTAGATTTTGGAAGGATCTTTTTCAGTTGCAGGGCACTACTTTGTCCTGTCATCAGCATATCACCCACAAACTGATGGGCAGTCAGAGGCTCTCAATAAATGTGTTGAGATGTATTTGAGATGTCTCACTTTCCAAAATCCAAAGTCATGGTTTAAGGCACTTGATTGTGAAGAATACTGGTATAATACAACTTTTCATACTAGCTTGGGTATGACACCTTTTCAAGCAGTATATGGAAGACCACCCCCTACATTGATCAGATACAGTCAGCCACCAGCTGATACATTGGGTGTGCACCAACAACTGATGGAGAGAGATATGTTGTTAGCTCAATTGAAGAATAATCTTAGGCATGCACAACAAGTTATGAAGGCTCAAGCTGACTAACACAGAAGTGATGTGTAATTTGAGGTAGGAGAGCATGTGTTAGTAAAATTACAACCCTACAGACATAATTCGGTAGCTTTGCGAAAGAATCAGAAATTGGGGATGCGCTATTTTGAACCATTTACCATCACTAAGAAAATAGGACAAGTTGCTTACAAACTCCTCTTGCCTCATGAAGCTAGAATCCACCTAGTGTTCCACATATATCAGCTGAAGCAGTTTAAGGGGCAAAGTACTGACCCATATATTCCTTTACCATTGACCTCACATGGGTTAGGACCCATTTTGTAGCCTACAACAGTACTCCAAATGAAGGATATCATGAGAAATGATCAAGTCATTCCACGGGTGCTGATTAAATGGGAATGCTTGACTGATAAGGATTCTACATGAGAAGATGTTGATGCAATAGTTGAGAACTATTCTAACTTTAACCTTGAGGACAAGGTTGATTTTAAAAGGGAGGGTATTGTAATGAAAGTGTCACATCAGCAGAATGGAGATGTGGCAAAGGTTCTAGAAAATGAAGATACGACAAATTCTGTTATGGATCCACAAATTCAGGGAGTGAGGCAGGGAATGAGGCCTCGTTTTTCATTATGCAAGTTGCAAGATTTTCTCACATAACCTTAGTATATATAGAATTAGGATTGAGAATGTGGGTGTGAATGATTTGTGAGAAATTCTTCTCTTCTTTCCTTGCTCTGAGAGTTCTCTCCTACATTCTTATATTCATTCATCTTAGATTGTAATTCTTACTCAATCTCTTCTAATTCATACACCGGAAGTTGTAATTGAGTTATTAATAATACAATCTTTCATTTTTCCCAATTGATTCAACCATTACATATTTGTTATGGGTCGGTTAAAGATCCAATACGAGTAAGATTCAAATATCAAACTCAATAATGCAAAGTCCATTAAAATTATCCATATTAAAATCATAAGGTACATGCTCTCTTTTCAAGCTTACACTTAATTCATTTTAGACTTTGTAATTGATTTGAATGTTAGAGTGCTAGCTTTACAGGTTCATCTTCATATTGTCGTATTGTAGATCCGTATCACCACGTTGGAAGTTCATCATTACAAACGAATCATAATTCTAATTCCAGAATTCCAGTGCAGAACAATATCTGATCCAAGAAACATACTCTATATTTCAATATGAAACAAGCTCTAATTTTTTTTATGTAATCTTTGTTTCATCTTCATCATTACTTGTGTCAAATAATTTGGCACGATTTGCGAGTTCTTCATCTCCCTTGCAAGCATTATCATTGTTGAGTTTTTTCTTTTAATCTCGTATCATTTGGTTGAAACTTAATGTGAAGAGGTTGAGTAGAATAACAATTTTTTCCTTTTGTGAAGTTTTGATAATCTAATCAGTACAATATTATTTTTTTGAATGGAAATTATCTTTAATATAGCTTTATTCGGCTATATCCATAAGAATCAACAAATAGTCTCTAATCTCACACTTGAACAAAACAGAGTCATACATGGGTGGCATTGTTTTGATTGAAAATATAATGTAAATTTATAATTCTCTATACCCAAAATGCCAGAAACCAGTTTAATTATCAATTTAAAACTGATTCAACTGAAATGGAATGTGGCTCTTGATTAAATTCTGACATGCAATCGAACAGAATGACTCATGCATTTAAAACTATACAAATGAAGGCCTAAAGTGATTCTTAAAATAGTTGATATATAAAGAGAAGAAATGGCGAGTTATATTGCCATAGCATTTGCTAAGTCATACAAGTTAATAGTTAAATTGATGCATCATAAACTTGGTTCTGAATACAACAAATCAAACCAGTATGTATGATATTCTGTGTAAGCTCATAAAACCCAAATTTACACGGTCAATAGACTGTTGGATTTTAACCAGCACCAGGGTCAAGTACAGGAAGCCTGCAATGATAGCTGATTGATTTATCGGTTTGACGAGTACCAGGGATGAAGAATTGGAATATCACTGTCAAACAACTTCCCTGGGGAGCAATCCCATAGAAAGCACAATCCGGTTTAGCCAAGTGACACTGCAGACTCTTGGCGAAGTGCTTCACACTCACCTGCACTGATTGAGCATCTCCTCTTGAAATTGACCTTGATGATCTAGTCTGAGCACTGAGATTTTGATCCTCTGCTGGAGCATTTGCTTGTTCTCCGATTACTAAGAGCTTTCGAAACTCAGCTCCAAGGCTGATCAGTGTGGTTGAAACCTGTACGCTTAAATCCCCATACTTACTTATTGACACATCCACCGCATCTCCTACATGTTTCATCCGATCCACTAAGTTAAGCAATTGATTCAAATCAGGCACCTATAGCGGAAATGAAAATTAAATGAGTGAAATAGCTAAAAGTAACAAAACTAACTAACAATTATAGCTAACTGTAACCTAATTGCTAACTCAACAAACCCAAAAAATATCTAACTAGCTATGAATTGCATAATCAGAAAACAAACCAACTAATTGTAACTAGTAGCAACCCTTTCTGCCTATAATCCCTTAGGAGGTTATATAACCTATAGCCATCTCACCATATCCATAATCATTTCACCCTTCTTTCAGCTGCTCCATTCAATTGAGGAGTGTATTTGGCTGTTGATTAGTGTTGGAATCCGTTTCATTCTTTACTCTTCTTTCATCTCACCAGATCCATAACATCTAGCAACAACCCTTTCTGCCTATAATCAATTCTAACACTTACTATCATGAAACCAAACGTATAGGGCCCTTTTGGTGCCCCAAATATCCTACATTAAGGTCCCCATTAAACTCTATAAGTAATTTCAACTAATTTTTCCAAAATCAAACTCAGCATAAATAAACTAATTTCAAATCAAACTTGAACAATTAGCAATATATTTCCACTAAAAGTCACATTTTCTTTATTTAACACTAATACTTTTGATTGAGCCTGTATCAAAGCATGAGACACCTATCATTGTCTGAGACCGGCATGACACTAACATGTGTCATGTGGTTACATACAATTACTTCTATTTTTCAAATTATTGTTGATGTTTGACATAATTTTCTAACACCAACATGACGCTAAGATGTTTGATTATATATAATCAATCACTTGAACTTCTCAAATTATAACCAATGTCATGTCAAAGTTTTGTTGTTCAAAGCTACATAGCACCGACACCTCTAATAAATGTGTGTATGTGTCAATATAAGTATCTAAAACCGAAACCGAAACTTGGGATAACTTTAATTTATTCATTTTTTTTCAAATTATTATCAGTGTCGCATTTCAACTAATGTCCTACATCATTAGTCTCCATTGAACTCTGCTAATTTTAAATCCACTAATTTCAAGTAAACTTATTTCAGATCCACTAATTTCAACTAAACTTGCAAAATCAAAACACAACATAAGTAACCTAATTCAAAATCAATCTCTAATAACAACAAAAACAGTTAATTATAACCTGAATAAGCGTTTGAGGAATATCCTGAGCCATATCAAGCGCACTCTGAAGCTCAACAACCTGAGCCCTAGACAACGGTTTCGAAATCGGAATATCCTGAACAACAGCCGATTTAAACCCGCGCGTTTCAAAAGTAAGAAACGGCGCCGCAATACTACAATTCTGAGAAAGTTTCTTAACAAGCTTAATCTGAAGACGATTAGGAACAGCAGCGGAATAATCAGAACAAATAGCAACGGAACTACGAAGAGCGCGGAGGAGGAGGGAGAGATCGATTACGAAGGCGATTCGGTCGTCGTTTTGGCTTGAGATTCGGTAGTCGTCGAAGAGGATTTGGTTGGTGAATTGCGCTATGGATTGGATTCCGTCGCCGTTGAGGAGGTTGTGGAGGAAGAGTGTGTGGGTTTTTGTGAAGTAGAGGTGGCAGGTTTTGGAGGTTTTCTCTAGGGAGGGGATGAAGCGTTTTTCGAGTAGGTTTACGCCGGTTTCGGTTAGAAATGCTTTGAATTTCATTGTGGTGGAGATTGGAAATTTGTGAGGGGAAATGGAAATTGAATTTGTATATGCACTCTTTCAAAGAGGGAAACTCAAAATTTTCGCTCCTTTTTTGAGATAAAAGTGAGATATCAAAATAAAAGAAGATGGATGGTACCTCGGTTCTTTTTTTAAGTATTATCATTTTTTTATTTTTTATAAATATACAAAAAAATTAATTAATATTATTATTTTTTATATAATAATTCTCTTTTAATTTATAATATTTTTAATTATTTGTTATAATTATTTTATTTTTCTCTTTCTGTAATAATTATCTATGAGTTTAACAAAAATACATTTAATACTATTTTAAACTTTACAAGTGACATTTAAAAAGAAACAAAAAAATATCAAAAAAAATGACACTTAAAAAAGAATGGAGGAATTAATAAATAGTTATGTTCTTAATTATAAGAAAAATATGTTTTTTATATTCATTAAATAAATAATGTATTTGGACAAAATATAGATCAAATACATTAGTTATCGAATGAATTTTAAAAATAAATTTTTTCTTATAAATAAGATCGGAGATAGTAGGAAGATACTCCATATGATAAGAGTGCTAGTGTCTCAACTTACGAAGTGTAATTGGTTCCACGATAAGTGATTAAGTTGATCATTTCACACATATTAATAAAAATGAATAAATAAAAGAGAGAATGATAGTTTTACCAAAGTAATTATGGAATAAGTTTAATTGTACAACTATTTTTAAGTTTTTATGATACAAAAAATGTATAAAACAATTTTGTACTCTGACTATTTTTGTTAAGTGCGCAAATAAAAGAAAATATATTCAGACTCTAAATAAGTTAAATCTGAACGCAGACGAAATCTGAAGAAAAGTGATAGTAGATTCTAAAGTGAAGACACACTCTGAACAAAAGGAAGAATACAAATATGTGTGTAAAGCAAAGTCAAGTTTCAGAATCATCAAAGTCAACACTCCCGCAAGGAATTATTCAAAACGGTTCTGACAAAAGACTCTGATTGATCAAACAACTCTACTCAAACTTCATCAAATCATATTAGAAGCATCTGACTATAAGTCATTGAACAAATGAACTATCTTTCTAACAATCTAAGCACCAGAACAAACAAATAAATGTTTTTGTATTTCTTGTTTAGAATTACTCTGGACTCTTATACTTTCAAGTCTCAATCTAAATAGACTTTGTAATCTACATCATTTAGGCTCTAAACTCTGATCAAGCTTCACTTTATATTTTATATGAAACCTCTAATTATGACAAGAAGTATATTCAAGAAAAGTACAATTAAAAAGGGACTTTCTTAAAAGGACAAACATGATATCTTCAAGGATTGTACTATGTACTAAAGTAGGTACTCACATCACATCATCACTAACTCTCTACTGCTAGCGTCACTCTATTATTGCATATGAAGTAACCTTCATACAACAAATACTGAGGATAATTTTTATTCTACCCTCCAACGAATCTATTTCTATTATATATATTTAGAGGAAGAAGAATATGGAAAGTGTTTATGCGTGTGAGTCTTCGCCTACGCTGAAGCTACAACACCATAACACAAAGAGAGAAACAACAAAACACAAGAACAAAGAAAAATCATTTGTGCAGAAAAGAAATGAGAAGAGAGAAACACTTAGAGCTTTCATTGTATGTCATTTTAAGTGTATTCATGTGATCTTCATTTTGTGTGTTATTTGTTTATTTGAAAGCACTCTTGTAAACATAACACTATATTCTTAACCTTGGGTTAAGTCTTTGAGTGACCAGTGTTACTTTGAATACTCGAGAAGTCTTAGACAGTTGGTCTTCGAGTTGATTTCCTTGAGAGACTAGGGTATAGTCAAAATTTCTCAAGAAGACATTGAAGGTTAATCTTTGTAGTTGTAATCAGGTTGGTTACTGGATTAAGTCATTTTCTAAGACAAAATCACTCAGGTGGGTGGACTGGATGTAGCTTTGTTAATAGCGAACAAAGATAAAAAAAAAATACTTGTGTTCATATATTTATCTTTATTGATGATGTTTGATACATTGGGTAATAAAAAAGTTTAAATCCAGAAACCAAATTCAATCCCCCCCCCCCCACATCTTTCTTGTATTTCTTGCACCTTCAATTGGTATTAGAGCTATGTTTTGGTATTGATTCGTTGTGTCAAACACTTTACCATGTCAGAAAAAGATCAATTTTTTAAAACACAAATGGTTCATACCTACAATGATAAAGTTTTTCATTTTGGCCAATCTTCTAAATTTCTTTCTTGGTCAAGATGTTGGTTTATGGGATATGGTTTCAATTGGATACATATTTGCTTTTGATGCTAACATGAGAGGCTTGAAAGAAGTCAGATGAATTAGCAACAAAGAAAGTACTTATGAAGCGAATATGCAAATGGAGAAAGCTAAAGCTTCAGAATCATTCAAGAGTGAAGTTGTCATATCCAGAAAAGGATGAGGCTCTAAAGAAAGACATGTATATGGATTCAAAGATCAGAACTACTCAAGACTAAAATGAAGAATCTGAAGATGAATATGAAAGTGACTATTAAGATAAAGGTGCATCTAAAAAGGCACAAGCTTATATGGCTCTTAAGGCTAGCACCTTCAGAAGATCGGATCTGATTCTGAATCAGATTCAGACTATTTTAAGGTATTATTTAAACTCTCTCTTTCTGAATTTAGTCTATGTTTAGCTGAGATTCTTGGAAAGAGTCGAAAGCTTCAGAGAATATGGAAGAATTTGGAACAGATTCAAGTAGTCTTTTCTGAAGATCATAGTGAACTTTGGAAATAAAACTCTATTATAAAATTTAAAGTCAGCAGACTATAATTTTAGAAATTTGTTCTTAAAAGTAGTAGTGAAAATTTCAGAAAAGAAATCTTTTCATAAGCTCCTATGATCTCTGAATGTGCTTCGAAGATATATGAAGTTTCTTTTAAATAATTTCTTACTAAAAACATAGATAGAAGCAAAATTGTTTAATGGTCTATGGAATTAATGGTAAAGGCAAAAGAGGCATTGGTTTTCATAAACCATGGAATTTCATGTTGAAGCCTAAACCTAAAAAGAATGTGAAAATTTTATCCATTCCTATCCTACCTTTGGTCACTCTCATTGTTTATATTCTGCTTACAAACATTGGGTTGATAAAACTTTTGGGTTGGGAAGGTCTCTTCAACTACCTCAAGAATCTGATGAATCCTGCACTAGTAAAAGATTTATGGGCATGGACTGTTTTTTGGAACTGAAAGATGAAAGCAATCAGTATTTGGATGCAGCAATCAGATTTTCAGATTCTCTAAGGTTATTAAATTAATAAGAGTAACAATCATTTTCCCTATGATAATTCCTTTGCTTTGTGGTCATTTGAGAATCATATTTTGCATTCGTTGTGCTAGCCATACTAAGATAAACATCATTTCATAAAAAAAAATTATTAAAAAAAAAAGCTTATTCAGAAGGGTATTATAAAATTTATTAATACAAACCTTAAATGGGCTAATATTTTCTCAAAAACCCCTTGATGAAAATAAGATTTGTCTCATTTAGAAGAACTTATAAGAAAATTTTATTTTGAATGAATGATGAGATCTCAAAATGTGTAGAATTAGAATAATAAAATCCGACTCTAAGTTGTTTACCCCTGAACTAGCCAACTCTCTATGTGAGTAGGTTGTCTTTGTCAGAAGATTTTAAGTCAGAAATCCTCTAGGATTTTTCTGTCTTCTGATCTCTAAAATATTTTTGGTTAATTTCAAGTACTTTTGTTATGGCTAAGATGTATGGCAAGATGTCCCATTTTCTTTCTAAACCGTAAAAAACGCTTGAAATACTAGTGGATAATTACTTTCTTGGATCAAATGCTCTGGCACCCCTATGTCATTAATTAATTAGAATAACAATGATCGTCCTATTCAATCATGTCGTATTAAACATTTCTTGTCAGTATTCATAATGACGTTTGAGTTTTCTCTCATTTCTCTCTGGTCTTTGATTCATTCAAATTTTTTTCACTTTAACTCGTCCACATCTATATAAACCATGTCACTTTCGTTTCCTTTTCATACTCACTATGTATATTATTTCACTCTCATGTCCTTTAGCTTCTTTCTTCTTGATGGTTTCTTCTTGCAAAATCCTCAAAGGTGATGAAACCAAGCTTGTTACTATCCTTGAACAAGTGGTCAAATTTGAAGAGTTAAAAGCTTTAGGTTCCAACATACATAGTCATGTTGCCTCTCAACGATGGGGAAACTACTTTTGTATGCTTCTTGGACTAGTCTTTCTCATCCTTATCAAAAACTTTTGGGTCAATGCTCGACTCACTTCAATGATGTAAAAGTTCAAGAAATCTGGTATGTTGTCATGGACACTCTTATTACCACCACTCCTTCACTAATTACTGATGTCATTAAGTGTGAAGAATATAGTGTTAATATTGAGAAGTAAAAAACTAACCTTTCCTGTTGCAAAGACATTCTCTCCATCACCAAATATTATGGAAACCCTTCCAAGGCTTCTGATCTGACTCCTGCGGTAAATTTGTGGTATCAGTTGATCATAAAAAACCTTTTTCCAAGGGATCAGATGGAGAACTTCTTGTCTATCGACGACAAACATATTCTCTATTTCTTCATTTCAAGGGTAAGATTTAATACACCTCTTACTAACTTTAAATATCTGAAAGAAAAAATCATGACCTCTCGTGATGGTGAATTTCCCTTCATTTCTTTTGGGAGAGTTTTCTCTTAATTGTTCATTCAAAAAGGAATAGTTAAAGAGGTACATATGGCAGGCCTAACTAAAGGGCTTGAGATGTCCTGGGGAAATAAGCTTGAAGGGATTAAGATCTTAGAGATACAGAAGAAGAGGAAGCGTGACCATTAGGAAGGATTCTCTGGATGATATTCCTTTTGTCTTTTTGTTTGTCGTTGTTTCTCATGGTTTTCTATTTTTTCTCTAGCTATTTTATATTCTTT